ACGCTTACAAAATGAAGTGTTTTGATTCTGTTTAAGGAAGGCAGGATTTCCAGTTATTTGCCTGTTTTCTTCCAGCTGCAATTGAAATGAAGCAGTTTAGTAGCTCTGAATGTTTGTCCCAGTTCATTTATTGTTCACCAGTAGTGTTCAGATCAAGTTACAAATCCACTTATATCTGCAGCTCAGGATTAGGTACAGATTCTCTTGTTCTTAATGTTTGTTATGGAGAAAGGCATTTCTACACAGCTGTTCTGTCTAGACACATCTGCAAGGGATGTATCAGATTTAAAACAATTGCTGTCACTGTCTCATTTTCATCTCCAATCTATGATACTTTTTTTTTTTAAGTATACCTTTTGGTCCCAGTTGAAGCAATATCCATCACTAGGATAGCAGAGGGACCCAGCAGTCCCACTGGTATCAGCTGCACTTGGGGCACATGCTTGAGATTCTGCTGGTGCTTGCAGTGTGCGCTGCTCACAGACGTTGCATACCCAGATATGTAGTGAAATGTGGACTGAATATGGAGAACAGGGTAAGGACTTGCTGTTGCTTTTTGCAAGGCTTACTAGAGCCAGCTCAGTTTCCCCTAGGAAGCATCATATCTTACAGTTCTGTTACCATTTGTTAAATATGTGCTGCTGCTTGCTCTTCCAGTATGACCCATACAAGAGCAAAACACCTGAGGAAAGAACTTAGGAGCTCCCTTGGCAAGCATCTAGCTTGCAACACATCAATAATGCACAGTGTAAATCAAAGCACTCTGACAATGCCACAGCACTGCCTCCTGCAGAGCATTCAGAGACTGCTCTGCCAATGGCATACAAACACAGCCATGCAAAGCAGCTGTAAAAGGTGAGGGGACCCCTGACATGATGACAATGAGAAAGCTGCTCTTTTTAAAATCTAAATACACAAACAATTTTTTGGGGGGAAAGAGTGTGCTCTGTGAGCGGAGTGAGTGTGCAATTCCAGCCAGACAGAAAAAAAAACTTTCAATCAAGTGCTGATGATGCACTTTTCTGTGCTGTGCCCAGCACCATAGTGCTAAAAGTGTTAAGCAATTTGAGAATGAGCTCTTTGACTTGTGGCTGTTATTTCCCAATAGCAAATGGGTTGGTGGAGAAACTTCACCAGGAGAGATGTGTGGCTCTGTATGTGTCTGTGAGGTAAGGAAACATGCTGAGCTCTGCACACACCTCTGAGCAGAAGTAAAGGAAGTTCTGAGTGCTCACAGTGTCAAAAGCATCGAAGAATCTGCAGAGATGTGCACATTTCATGAATAAGCCTAAGTAATGAAGTTCGGGGATGTATGAGAAAGCTCATCAGTGTATAAATAGTTTGAAGTCCTGTTGCAGAACGCTGCTGGGAAAGGACTGAGGTGTGGATGGTGAGATTGAGGCCTCTTGTGTGTGTCAGGGATCTAAAGACAATTGGGGATTGTAGCAGAGGGGATCTGGGATGGACAGTACAGCTGGGCTGTGGGAAGTGAGGGGCTGAAGCAGGCAGTGTGGTCTGGAGTTGGGATCAAACAGTGCTGTGAGCCACAGTGGCCATTTCTCACCATTCTCTACAAAAACTGAACCAAACTGGAATAGCTCCTCTCTAATTATGAGGCAGTTCTTCCAGACCTCAAGACGTTTAGGCTAGCTTGTACTTAAAACTTAATGTCTTGATTAATGGCCCTTTTTAAAGTGTGGATAGCAGTACAGTGCTCTACTTACGTTTGTCACAAGATACTGCTAAACATGACCCACATAAGAAACTCATGGTTTGAAAGGTGTGTCTTGTCTTCTGCAGGAGAGATGAGTGCCTTTCTCTTCTAGTCTTGTATTTTCTTCATCAACATCACCTTTTCCACTCAAATCTTTCTCCTTCAGTCCATCAGCCACTTCATCTGGGTGCAGTGGTCACCCACACCCATTCTGGGTAGCACCCAACATATCAGTATTGAAATGTTGAAGGATTTGGCCCTCTTGCACTTCTTCACCCAGAGCTTCTAGTTTTTAATAGCCTTAGTGAACCAAGAGTGCTTCTCATTGCCCTTTGAAACCATTTTTGCATGGGCTTCATCTTATTGGAAGGGAGGAAGTATTTGATGCTCCTCACATCAGTCTTAAATACATCCCGAATAGACAGAGTGGAAAATAGTCTTAAACCTTTTGGCATCCATTTGCTGTCAGTCACATGTCAAGTCAGGAATAAAAATTGGCAACTAGCTGTAAATTTCACAGTCATGCAGCAGGATTTGTGGAGCTGAATTTGCAGTTCAGTTCTTGGCTTCAGCTGTCACTGTGTACCTCTGGTGATGAGCATTCATGCCACTGTGCGGTATTCGAGTTGTCAGATATCCAGAGCTTACAGAAATAACTTCATTTCCAAATGGACTGTCTCTTTTGGTATGAATAATCAGAACACCATACAAAATACTTGACATGTACTGGGAGTCTGGGACAGTCTGACACATGAAAATATTTGGAATATTCTGGTCTATTTATTGCCCTTCCAGAGCGCCACAGAACAGTCAATAGGACTCCATCATTAAGCTGCATTCTTCCTTTGATTATCTCAATCCTATTTTGTTTAACAGATTGTGAAAACAGTTGATCAAATACTTTGCAGAGACCCCAATATGATAAAAAATGGGAACTGAACATTAAGGGGGTGCAGAGCATTGACAGCTATTCCCAACGTCCATCTGTACTTTGGAAACACAAGTAGTCAAACTGCCTTGTCTCTCAAAACAGAGAAGCAGTGTCAGCATGGCTGTTTTCCTCTGAGCCCATGAGAAATGACAACCTTATTTGAGGGCTAATTAGAGTAGTATTCATTTTCCTTATTATAAATATTGATGGTTTGACACAAAATCAGGGATGTTCTATAATGTAAGCAAAGCCTGGAAATGTCCCACCATAGAAATGTGAAAGCTGAATTCCTTTCTGAACTTGCTGATAGCACCTGCATCAACTCCAACTGTTGGCAGCAAATTGCAGGGTTCCACTACCTGCCACTCTTATAAAGGCTTTAAGCTGCTTCAGTTTACATGAGTGAGCCCTAGCTCCAGTGCTGTGGGATTTGGTGAACCTCAGTTTAGCACCTGACTTATGCCCAGCTTTATAATTTCATATACCTCAATCTCAGCTGAGGAAAAATGCAGCATTTTTGAGAGCCAGTGAAGTTCACTGGTTTCTGTATTCAAAACCATTCAAATTGTGAGACCAACCTTCAAACACAGAATGATGGGGAAACAATACAGTCATAAAAACCGTAATGACTTGTCAGTAACAGTCATGAGTTACCATTGTATGCAGGCTGTTCTCATGTATTCCAGATCAGCCTATAAGATATGTGGAAGAGGAATGCTCATCTGTTTCAGATTATTAAGGATTCTGGGATGCAATCCTAGTGTTATTCAAAAAAAAAAAAATAATCTTTTTTCAAGTTCCATTTACAAAGCAAAAGAAAGGAGGCCCACCTCTTCACTATACGACTTCTGTGTACCATCTTTGAACAAGGAGATATGAGTGCACGTTTAAACACATTCCCTTGGTTCTGTCTTCTCCAGCTGTCTGGCTCAGCTTGTCCTAGTGTGGTATTTTGTGCATCAATCCTGTAGAAGTTCACAGTTCAAACCTCAGAGTTACCTATGCTCAAAGTACGATGGCTGCTCTGAAAGTAATGCCTCCTATTTTACTATGTTGGCCCACACAGTGAGAGGTGGATGTTGGTGGTATGGCCATCGAGGCTCAACCTTTCCACCATTATTCTGTTGCATTGTGTTGCTGTGTGACAGATGGCAGTAGAGGGGCAGACTGATAACAATGGTGTCTGTGTATATAAGCAAAGATGTGTCACTGAATTCTTCCATGAGGGGAAAAAATGGCACCCTGACGTTAACTGATGCTTGTTGAACATTTATGGAGACCAAACATTGGATGTAGCACAACCCATGGACTGGTGACATGTGAATTTTCCATTGAATAAGAAGTTCAAGATGCAGCCTTTAGTGGGTAAAGTGACCTGCACTGTATTTTGGGAAAGAGGTGATCCTTCTAGATTTCCTGGAACACAGATGAATCATCAACTCTTGCCTGCTAAAGCATGATGCTGACTAAGCTGAAGGCTTCAACTTCCAGAGTCAGACCAGAGAAGACGGTGACTTTTTCTCTTGCAGTGTGATAACACCAGGCCCCATACTAGTCTGAAAGCCATGGAGCATATTGGCTGGACTGTCCTACCACCCCACCATATAGGTACCTTCTGACTTTTATCTGTTTGGGATGATGAAAGATGGACTGCATGGACATTTTCCTAGCAACAATGTTGTTATGGCAGCTGTGAATCAGTGGGTCACCTCTGCTGGTGCAGGTTTTAATGAGTGTGGTGTGCAGGCTCTAGTTCATTGCTGGTGAAAATGCATAGCTAGTGGTTCTGTAGGTGAGAATTTGCTCCATCAAATAGTGTGATTGTGCTCTTTTTATCTGTTGTAGTTTCTATGGAAATAAATAGGAAGCATTACTTTTGGAGCGACCTACGTACACAAGTGAGTCAGCCATCCAGCTCAAAAATCAGCTCTAGGAGACAAAACTTCAGAAATTCACCTTCTATACTTGCCAAAAAAGATTTTTATGCATCAGGTTCCAGGTTTACTAGTTTAAAACACAGCTTGAGTTGGCACTAAACCACAAAGAGCAGCGGATAAGAAACTGTATATTTTCTGACAGGTCATTGAGCCGGAGCCTAACGTGCTCATTTTAACAGCTCATTTGTGTCTGCTGTCTTGGCATTCTGACATTTGCTGTCAAGGTTCCTTTCCCATGCAGCCACGCACTTCGCCATTCAATAGCAGTGCTCTAATCTGCAGCGGCACGTACTGGTTTCTCATTTAACAACTGATATGAAATCTGTGTCTCTGGATTCTGAAGAAACACCTCAAAATGAAGATTATCAAGATTCTCTATGATGTGAAACAAATACATAAGACAGCACAAGACACAAAATTATGAAAAAGGTATTTATTATTTACACAACTGCTATAGTTCCTTAAGAACAATATATACCATTTTTATTTGAAAGGGTCAGACTTCTTTCAAATACATGAACTGCATAATGCACAAGTGTTGGTAATGCCAAACAGCAGTCACATCACACTTCTATAGTGCAGGCATAAGCAGCGCAAGTAAATGATATTTTAAGAACAGTATGGCTGGATATTGTATTTAAACACAGTGTTTGCACTTTGACAAGATTGAGCTAGAAGAGAACAAGGGTTTTGTTCATGCTTTGTTAGGGATGTGACTTTCCCATCTGAGGTCTAAACCCTTTGTCTGATGTATGAGAATTTTTCAGGCAGACTGCTTTTCAGTTACCAGATAGGAGTGGGATTATCTCCCTCAGTTTTCAGTCTTCTGTTTTCCAGTAAACACTGCTTTATAGTACGAGTTCACATATTGGGAGAAACTGGCCACAGAGGTGGTACCTTCCCATCTTACTGTCTTGCACAGATAAACACTGACATACTAATACATACCAAACTTAGACAACTTGTAATTTATAGATTTAAATACTGGACTGGGTGAGGGAGACTGTTTCTAAAGATGGAGGGAATAAAGGGCTTATACAATTCATACACTGTCAAAATTGGCTCCTTACCCAACTTTTTTGGTCTAATTTTTTTTCTAGTTTCAGAATGGTTTTGGTCTTTAACGGTTATGGTTGTACTTCAGCAGAAAAGGAGAGAAAAATATTTGTAGTGACACTGTAGAACCGAATGTTAGGAAAAGTAACTGACTTGTTTCTCCCACTCTGAGCTTATTGCTGTGATCTTTAGGAGAAAACAAGCAAAAAACCCCACCATGAAACAAAACAACTAAAAATAACCCACAACCACCCAACTGGAAGACCAAGTATAGCAGTCGTTCTGGCATTGTATCCAGTGTCCAGCACTATTATACTCTAGCGTATAAGCAAGGAAAAGTCCAATGATCTGAGTTAAGTTCCCTTTGATTCAGTGCTAAACAATTTTGTTACTGTTATTGTCCTTGTTTCTTTGAAAGATACCTGAAAGAAGCAAAAATAGTTTCACACAAAATAAGTAGACGCAAATATATCCATCTTTTATATGCACAAACTATGATTTTTTTTCACTAAAAATCTAATTATTAATAACCAGAAATTAGACTGCAATCAATGCTACTTATGACTTAATCTCACTTCACGTTCTTTTAATTTCATGATAGATTATCTTGGAATGACTCAATATTTTTAGCTTAACTGTATAAGGTTTTAAACAAAGAGGGGAAGGAAATTAAAATATATTAAATTCTATGAGGCTGAAAATTATAACAGCTGAAATGTAGTTATTATAACCCCTGAGGCATACGCATTAGATATGGGACTCCTTCAAATAAATCAAGTCTTTCAAGACTTGAAAGAACCTGAATAAAAGCTGAAAAGAACAGTTCTCCACCAGCCCCTTCCAAAAATTTGGGTTGCTCTAAAAATGCTTGTTGCTTGATCTCATAGCTTGCTTACCACCACAGATGGAACAATCCAACTACACGATGCATTGAAGACTTCGCAAATACCCTGAAATATCTAAGTAATTTAACTGACCCTGTGAAACATCCAGTGAGTTCCAGGGCTTTTAAAATCTAGCATTTGACTTTCTGGTCTAATCAGAAACAAAAATTAAAACAACATTAAGTTTGCTGAATGGGTGCATTTCCAATAGCATATCGTCCATCCTCTTTTTCGCATGTATTGAAGATCCAGGTTAATGCATAGAATAAAACAATTTTACCTACATACTTCAGCTGGTTGTTCTACAGCAAGATTTAGGATGGTAACTGGTGCTTAATTTAAGCATTTGGAGAACTTGGATTCATAACACTTACATTTCAGTGCTGGTGAATACTGTAGTACCACACATCTGGATAGAGCCACCCTAACAACACAAGCCTTCAGAAGTAACTTCCTTGCAGCAAAGGACATCACATCTGACCTGACAGCTTAACTTTGTAGGAGTGGAAAAAAGGAAGTTTTCAAGCATCAGGTTTCTTCAAATTTTTTTTTTCCCTTTTAAGAAGCAAAACTGCTTCAATGATCCTGAACTCTGAAGTAGTAGGAAAAAGGTCTGTTCTGTCAGAAACCCTAACTTCCTACAGAGGCAGCCTAAACACTGCAGCCTTTTTAAAATCCTGCTCAAACTAAAGGACATTCGTAGCTTTAAATCATGTCAAAGTTCACCAGCTCAGCTGTTTCTGGTCTTCCTACAGATGACATTAAGCAAAACACAGTGGGGTCAGGAGTAGAAAGAAGAAAGGTTTTTGACTTTGTTCTTACCTTTCCCAGTGTTTATGATTCAGCTCCAAAAAGTCATCTAATTTTGCGATTTCTTTCAGGTACTGAGTGAGCTTTAGAAGCTCCTTGTCTTTATCTCGATTTAAATGTGCTTTCATAAAAGGCCTTATCTAGTTAAAAAAAAAAAAAAAAAAAAGTGGTTATCATCATCTGCTCCAAGTGAGTAAAATGCTTACAATTCTATAACGTTTACCACATAGTCAAAATATTGTCAGTGCTATGTCAAATTTTAACTTCTTTTAGGTAAGAGGAAGAAAAAATTTTTCCATTAGCCTCCAATTTGTCTTTTTATTGATGCAATCTGGATTTCAGGGTTTTTGTCTTGCATGCTCACCAGGATGAAATTTGTTCTGTCAATCTTGTATTTCTTCAAGCATTTCCCTCCCAGTCAGTCAGAATGATAAATCGATCTGCGATGGACTGTCACATTTTCTAACATGATTTCATAGATATTTTTGCTGGAAAAATGAGGGGGTTTCAGATGTGCGATGAGCTGTGTGGTGTCTTTGGAATCAGATGCTTTTTTTTTTTTTTCACCAAAACACATCTGACTACAATCATAGCTTCTGTGACAAGAGATGTCAGAAGTAAAGCTTGTCTGACAACTGCTTTAAGCTTGGAATACATTCTACCTGTGCCTTGTTTTAGTGATTCAACGTTCTTGTCTGCAGCTCTGCTATTAACATTTTGACAAACATCCTTGAAATCTGAACTAGAGGGAGCTCTCTGGCTAATCCTCTCCCAGCACGATCCTTGATTCTCATAATTTTGATTTTCCAGTTAGTGCCAGCTTGACGGGTATCAACAATTGCCATCTTCCTCAAATCGAGGATATTTTCAAAGAAACACAATCTTAGATTTCCATTTTTGAATTTGTTTTATAGAAACTTGCAGAGATTCTTGTACTACATATTGTTGCACCATAGAATTTAAGTTGTATTCTTATTCAGAGCCAGCACTGATGATTAGAAGTTTTGGAGCAGGAACTAGTTGACAATTTTATAAAATGAAATATTTGCTGTTTTGCAGTCAAAGTAGCTCCAGGTATTAATTACCACTGGGGAACAAAATGCTTGCTATTGTGTTGACATGCTAACATGAAGTACAGCAGCTTGTTATTTGATTTGTTTTCTGATTGTAACCACTCTTAATGATTCAACATCACATTTTAATGTTGCCTGTCAACAATGTCCACGTTGATTATAATTTGCAGGTACAATGTAAGCAGGAATAACAATTTCAGTGCTTTGAAAGTCTCATTTAGGGAATCAACGCTTTAAAACTACCATTAGGGAAGTGCTAGTCCAACCAAAGGGCAATCTAAATAAAAAATAAAAAAATAAAACATGCATCTTAGTTAAGAACAGTCTTACTTTAATATAAAGCAGAAAATATGAGAAAGTATTATTTAAATTATATATTTTTAAAAAAGTAATATATAACATTTCCAGTTAACATTACCTTGAGTCCATTCTGTGGATTCATTAGGAAGTTTCGGCCGATATCATCAAACATAATAGTATTCTTTTTGCTGTAATATTCTGAAAATTTTCCCCAGATAACACCAAGAGGCTTCACCTGCAAAAATAATGTGTAAAAAGAACCCTGGTAAATCAGATCATATATAGTAGATAAAAGTATCAGTCTATAGGAATTTAAGTCCATACTCAAATGGACTGAAAAATTATCATGTGGTTGGGCTTTAATAAGTAAAGAGATCTAAAATAATATGTAAAGAGATCCAAAAATAGTCATTATTTGATGTAAAGCAGTCTCGTCCATATGAACTACTTACAGCATTAAACAGTAGAGGACTTCTATAGGAAAAAAAACCAACTGTGCTTCGGATATTGCTAATTTTCTTGCATGAAAACTTCAGCACAACTTATTGTTAAATATTTCCATGGAATATGATAACATGTAATCTGCATGTAGAAAATAACGAGGAAAAAAACCTGTACTTACATCTATTAGTCCTCTTCGAGGAGTGTGCACTGTTATCATGGCAGCACTGTCCAACATAAAGGTTATCTTGTAGTTTGCATTAGTGCTCACACCAAGCTCCTGCATCACAATGATTAATCATTAAAGCTTCAGATGATAACAATTTTATTGCTGTACAGCTGGAACCACATTTGTAATACATTGTCAAAGGGTGAGCTGATGAGAATGAGCAGAGATGTATTAAAAATAGGTATGTGATTTTTATTTTTCTACCCAATGGGAACCAAGAGTATGCTATTCTACCAAGGGGAAAGACTGACAGGAATTTATTTTTGTAGGGTTTGGTACAGAAATGTAAAATCTGATATCAGCATAAAAACTAAAACAACTTTACAGAAGAGGCAAAATACAGAGAGCTTTTGGCCATACCTTCATGCACAGTCTTTCAAAAGTTCTGTGTGTCTCAATATTTATACCTATGAAAACAACCATGTATGTTCTGCTCTGTTTTTTTCCACTAAGCTGTAACCAGTTGCAGCCAATCAATGACATAATAGCAGTTCATTGTTATCCTTTCCTCAACACATGTCCTACGTGGTCAGTGTTAATAAGAAATATTTCTGTTTGTACCTGAGGGATTTGATCACTCTTGAAACAAAGGAAAAATGATTTGGTTTAAAAAAAAAAATCCTAAACCTTAGACAAGGTGAGTGGGCATAATTTCCATTTCAAATCTTTTTCAGAATTGGAAAGTAACAGTAAAATCTACTGACATCTACTATGTGACAGACATTGCTGCTTTAATTTCTGATATATGTGACAGCAATAATGTGCAAAGCTGCATAATGTGGAGAAAATACCCACTGTAACAGTTGTCTTGCAGATATATAGCCACACTTAACTGATTGCTTTTATATGGAAAAGTGGAATCTTATATGGAATCTTGCAAATGAAAAGTGTTAAATACCAAGGTTAATGTCATCTTGTATTGAAAAATAGCTGTTCTACATCATCTGAAATTTGGGCATAAATAGACGGAGAATAAGAGACTAAACATAGTTATCTGACACTTCTCTTTTTAATACTGTTTCTGCTTTGTAGTTTAAAATAAACACTTCACTGTCAAGTATTGCTGGGATCATTGCTCCCAGACAAAAAGTGATACTCGTAGAAGTGCAATCAGTTTAAGGAGAAGCAACAGTTGTGGTCTAGTGTTAGGAATCTCAACTGAGATGTAGCAGTAAGCATGAGGAGGTTGTGAATTGCTAACATGAAAGGGCTGGAAAGGTGACCAGCGCAGAGTAAACAGCCCAGTTTAGAACAATGGTCTTCTGCTAGATTTAATCCTGCTGTTACAACGGATTCTGCAGCAAAACAAAGCTTTTTCCCTTAAATGGTAAATCCCACATGCAAGATGTGGTGCTCGTACATATATTACAGACATGGAAAATAGCATGGTTAATGATTAACTTTCTATTTCATCACACTTGCACTTACCTCTATGTGTTACAATGGTTTTGATTTAGCCAGAGAATTGACTGCATGGTAACAACTACAAGCTCTTTCAAGAGTATCTGAGCCACAAGTCTAGCTTAAAGTCAGTTTTGTATTACAGAACTGTAGTTACAGTATCTTTATTGATAAAGTTGATTCATAGATAAAACATAAACAGAAGGAATACTGACACAGAAGTACAGTGTTTGCAAGTCTTAATACCAATTTTAATTGTGCTAATCCCAGTTCAGAGTTCTGATTAAAGGTTCTCATTTCTGAGATTGTTCTGAAGGATTTTTGCTTTAAAAAATCACTGCAAATCACTTTTTGAAATAGACAACATTCAAAAATTCTTTGCCATGTTACAGCCTGAAAAAAGTCTATAAAAAAAAAAAAGTGAGATAAAGTTGAAAATTGGATTTTTTTTTTTGTGAAACAAGCTTTGATTTATAAACAAAAAACAACCCACCAACCAACTGTACAGCAGCACATCTCAGTAAGCTCATTAGGTTTACAGCTAAGAGTGGCTGTAAATATGTTTACCACTAGGTCAGCTGTGCAAAACTGGCTGGTTGCCCAGTTTAGGTACGGAAGAAACCAGGATTGAAAGAAGAGCTTTTACAGATGTTTTAATAAAGCAGAGGAAGAAACAAAATCACACAGCTGCAAGATGTACAGGATGAATATGAAGAGAGTTTTCTCTTGATAACCTATTCCAGCATGCCACATCTGTCCATTCTCTTAAAGAATTGTGTTATACTTAAGATTAGAACTCTATAATTAGAGCTAAGATGAAAGCAACAGTGAAGGCTATGTGACTGAGTTTCAGCAAGTACTGACTTGTGCTTAGTTCTGCTAAATTTAGTACCTACTGCTTTGATAGTTTGTGTGGAGCTCTAAAATTAGATTTTTATCTAGTTTTGTGTCAAAGGTATTTTAAAGTAACTACAAAGATTTAGAAAACTTGAATTTTGATTGTCTCCTCAGTCGCTAAATCTCTCTAATGCTGAACATAAACCCAACTAGATGAACGTTAAGATAGATTAGAAACAAAGTGCATCTTTTCAGAACAACTTACTTTCATTTTAGCTTCAATCCACTTCATATTAGTAGCAGCTGAAACAAAAGGGATAAAGCAAAGAATTATTTATCAGTATGTCATTGATAGATTTAAAAAAGAAAAAAAAAAAAGCAAAAAACTGTTTGTGTATCAATTTGTTTTACTTTCATTTCAGAAAGACCCATCCTCATCAAAGCTTTCAGAGTTCACTGCTTTCATGACAGTCTGCCTTTATGAAAGTTTATTTTAATTTGGAAAAGATTAACTTTCAAATGAAAACTAGATTAAGCGCTGCACTTATTTAAAAACATTTTCTAGATCAGTTGTTAGTTACATTCTTGAAAGCCATAGAACAGGCTACATCTGGTTTGAGGAACCACACTGTCTGTATAGGATTTTCTCCTGGGAGCATTATAAGAATTTATAAGGTTGAAAAAGGATAAAGTGTCAACATTGCCCACTGACCTAAGAATATGTGGAAGCATTGCTTCAGACTATGAAAGCTAAGTTTTGTAAAACAAGTTTAAATCTTATGTTGGCTCCAGCTGTCAGACAGGAAGTGAAGTTGTGCTAAAGCAAAGCAACAGCCATCTCTATAGACATGTGAGTTTGGACCATTTCCAGTTTTTTTATTGCTATGGCTTATTGTCTAGACTGAAATTATTTGTAGAGCTAAGCTACCCAGCAGTGTTTGAATGTTGATTTTACAATTGTGTTATTTCAAGCATTTGTTTGTTTGTACAAAGTGACATTCACTAAATGGATATTAAGCTTTATACTGTTATTAGATCCATCCATAACAGCAATATTCCTGGTGAATACGGTACAGCTGAACATTCATGTACTGCTTTACATCTTGTGATTCACACTAAAAAGTGATATGAAAACCTTCCAACTGGAGTCTCTGCTCCAAATGATAGTTTGTAATGAAGTCTTAGCACGGAGTACAGAAACTTACACCAAATTACAATATCATAATCCTCGTATGCAGATGTCAGGAACTCATGAAGGTATGGCCTCATCAGTTCTACCCCAGTTTCAGCACAAGATCTGTGGTCTAAAAAGTATATGAGAAAGCAGAAATTTATTATAGAGTGTAGGATGTTAAGTAGGACTGTCCTGTCCACCCAGGGACTTGAAATGTTTCATATGAGAAGCACTAGAGAACTTATTAAAGAACTTACAGTAAGGCATCATTCCTACTTTAAAGGTGCAAAGAAGCAGCGATATTTATCTCTTGATCTTTACAGGAATTTGTGGATTTAGCTGTGGGTCTGAATATCTTTAATGAGTCTAAAGAGTCAAGCCAATTAATTCATCTCTTCATCTTAACAAACTTCTAACAGCCCAGATACTGTTCAGAGATTCTTGCAAATTTAGTCCAGTTAATCTTGTGAACATATATACCAAGCTTATTTCAAACATGCAAATACTGCCTGTTCCAATTAGAAAAAATGCTGTTAAATTCAGGTAGAAGGAGACAGGTAAACAAAAGTGTAAGTTGTCATAGGCTCAATTTTCATCTCAGATTGTAAAGAAATGCCATGCAAAAGGAAATTACAGAAAAGGAAAAAAGGTAAGCTGATATGTAGTACTTATAGTCAAACTGCCATGACACACCTACATCCCAGAAAATGAAGTCAGAAGAAAATTCTGGCTTCTCAGAAAACCAGTCTGACAGAATTTTCAGGTAAAACATAGTTTTGTACGTGTTTACTGATCTGGAAATTCAATCTGAAGCTGTTCCGTCATCCCCAAAAGAGGAACCAATTGGCTACAGAGATCATTATTTTACAGCACTATCTTGTCCTGCCATCATCATGTGCAAGATACACGCTGGTCAAGAGAAGAGTTTGTTGGATAAAATCCTAAACTACTTTTTGCATCATCTTGGAGAAAATGAATAATTGCTGCACTAAAATCAACAATAGGTAACATTTACAAATGCTAATGCTTCTTAAAATATGAGCAGAAAACCTCAAAATGTTACAAAACAGAAGTTACGTAGTACAACACAAGCCAAAATTGCTGAAGTATATTTGTAAATCAAACATGAAGAAACACGAACTGGCAAATAAATTGCTCTCTTAAACCAACCCCACAAGTTGCATAAAGTCTCACCAAATAGTGTATAATCAACATCTAGCACCAGCAGCTTTTTTCCTTCCCTGGGAGGATTCAGAATTTCCACTTTGTATTCTTTAACTCTGCGAGAAATTTTTAGTAGATTTTCTTCCCTAATATAAGAGTGCAAAAAGTTACAGTTAATTAAAATGCACACTGCAGTTCCATAACAGGACTGGTTTTTAATAGCTAGAATTCCTAACCTGTTTTCTACTTCCACAACTTCCTCTTCAATATCAAAGTCATTGATGACATCATCATTATCAGGAGGTGGCCCAAGGACGTCTTCCTAGCAGAATAATAATAAAAGATAACTGGGATCACTAAAAGAAAACAGTGCATATCCAGACTCTGTTAGTGTACGTTACAGACAAAGAAAATTAACAAAAGTGATTTTACTTTACTAGCAAAAAAAATGTTCAAATATATTGATGATTAAGATTTCGGATGTCAGTGAGAATATCACAGGAGTAGGTTTGTACTTTGAGCCCAAAACAACACAGGATTTTAATGCTAGTCAAGTTCTACAGAAAAGTTTACATAAATACCAGAAATCTACTGAAGTACTAATTTTTCAATGATTTAAAATCATAATGAGGAGACATACAATCTTCTTTTTTTTTTTTCCTCTTATAAAGCTAATAAGCAAGTAAAATATTTACCAAACTCTCTTCACGAGTGCCCATCATCATGATTTTAGTATTTGGTTTTAACTTGAGAGCTCCAAGCTTAACATCATCATCCGCGGGTTTCCCTATAATGCAATAAGAGTTCTGTTTGCTTTTTTGTTGTGCTTTTTTGTTTGTTTCTTTTTCTTTTCAAACTGAGTAGAGAGATTTTAGAAAACTGTCAGTACATTTCATGCTTAATTGAAATTAGCTACCCATAAAACACAAGAATACTCCAGGCTGCATTGTCATCCTCCATCACAGCTACGCTGCTTGTCTGGCTAACAACAATTAAAAATGCTTAAGGTACATCTGCTGCACATCAGCCATTAAAAATGACCATTTAGATGCATCAGTAATAAACTACATAGTGATCTATCAAATTCCTGCGTGTGTGCTCATTCAAAAGCTAGATGTGGGCGGTAGATGCTCTGTTAATACACACATCCTGACTAAGCTAAGAGGATGCTCTTCCTTAAGTATCTCATACGCATCCGAAACTAATAATAAATACAAATAGTTACCCTTCATTTTAAGTCCAAGTAATTTTTGGCGCTCTGGTAACACTCCAGTAAGGCCCTTAAGAGATTGCTTCAGATCCAACACCGTGTCCTCTTCTGATAGTGAGGTTATTGTATACTCCTGTCCACCCCATTTTATTATAAGAGAGAGAGACATCCTTGGAGCATATGTTCAGTGTTATTTCCTGAAAAATCTGCTGGAGGAGGAAAATGCAATGACCATGTAAGCAAGAAATAGGAGTAGTGGTTTCTTTTTTTCAGAAGACAAACCTTACAGTCTAAATGCTTTTTACATTTCTGTGGTATTATACATCAAAGAGCCGTTTGTTTTGCATGCACAGATGATAAATGTTGATAAAATGCTGAAACTAAGGGAGAAAGAACAGCACTACAGCTGCAGCTTTGAGTTCCACTTTGATGTATTTAGCAGTGTCACATTCACTGTTTGCTGTAGCACCTTGCTGTGTGTTCTGTGCAGGTACAGCTTGTTCACAGCACAGCCAGCACCCAAGCAGAGTACTGCAGCATCAGAAAAGTCATTTCAAACCTCAGAAATGTCCTCTGCAATAATTTCACAACTTAACCACTCGTTACATACGTGGCTACTAAACAGCAAGTAAGAAACACCTAAAATATACATAAAAAAAAAAACAAATCAGTTCTGAACCAACAGTTCAAGTGGATCACTTTTTCTACCAGCTTTCACTAAGATCTGTGCAATAGCTGCAGTAATACATCTCAGATCACGTCTCACTGTAGCAATATCAAAGCAGGAGTTTGAAAACAAAGCCAAAATACTCACCTACACAGTACAATTACTCTGTAAGAACTGCACTTTCATTGCAGCGCTGACAAAATAATCATAATTACAACTACCTTTAATTTACACCACATCATTTATGTGAATTATATTCAACACTTTATTCCCACACTAAAGACAGAAGCAAGACTTTTAGCTTTCTGGGGAAGGAAAAATATGTTTTCTTCTGTCAAAGTTTGAAAGCAGAGAATCAAGGAATGGGTATGAAAAGGTCATTTCAAATTGTCAGAGATCTAAAGAAGGCCTCTGCACAACAATTGGTGAGAACGTTCTTAAAAGATTGCTGACCAAAAAGTAAAGAGAGAAGAGTCATGAAAACAAAACAGAACCAAACCTGAGGGTGTCCACCATTGAGATATGCACTGTACCAAGAAATCCAGGTCTGGCAATTCTGAAAAAAGTCAAATTCTGAAAAAAGTCTGACTCTCAAGCATTATTCCCAGCAGTTACCTGCTCTCATCCAAAATAATTCCCACCTACACAATATCCTTTGTTAAGAACAATCAAGTAATTATTCAGACATACCCACCGAACTCAAATCAGATAAGAAATGGAGGACCAGATACAACCTGCCTGCTGAGGACATTAAAAGCCATTCTTCTTCACTATTTCCTCTAGAATCCCTGAAAGCAACCTGAATAAATTTTAAAACAATCAATTTTTATTATTTTTTCAAATATCTCAAAATATCCCCAGATTGAATAGAGAACAGTATTATCCTATGAATTAGTATTATTCTGTGAAAGAGGGTCTTAGAAATACTAAGAGAACCAACTGAGGTTAAGGCTGCATATCAGCAAACAGTGTTAGCTCATTATCACAAATGATCTCTGTCCATAAACCTCAGACCAAGTTTTCTAAGCTTAGGAAGCAGTTTGTGGCCTGTTTTCTTATCTTGTCACACGCCTGAAGTCATTCTGCAAGCAAATGCACAGAGTAAAAGCAGTAAGGAAACTTCTTGTGCGTCTGTCAAACTGAAAGGATCTCCCTGAAGCAGCGCAGTCATCAGCTGCCAGTCCTTGCAGAAGTACAGCTCTGTCAGGATGAAGGTTATCAGAAACATCAGGCAGAAAGGCCTTTATTCAGTGCAAAACACTGATGGAACTGAACGTGGACACCAGAATCAATGTTTATAAGACAACAAATTAAAGGCAGGGTGCTGGAACTAGATGATCTTTTAGGTCCCTTCCAGCCCAAGCCATTCTGTGACTCAATGAACAGATGAGGACCACAGAGAAAGTCATAGGGATTTTCAAAGTTTCTATGGACTGGACCGTATAGAAGGGGAATCTGAAATGTACCGAAACAAAGTTTGTTCCAGTTGCTTACATCATCAGATGGATGACACTGTCAGAGCCCCGCGGGCCACCAAGAGCCTACAGTTATAAGAGCACTGGGGCAGAAGAAGTGCTCTTCTTGGGAGATCTGGGAGAGAAAAAGCACATTTCTACGTTCCTGGGTATTTCACTCGACAACGTAAACCGTGGGCACGACAAACCCAACCCGCGAGAGGGGAGAGCCACGCCGCAGCGCGGAGCGGGGACGGAGCGCTCAGGGACGGCAGCGGATCTCCGGCTGGAGTCCTGTCCCGTCCGAGCTGTCCCGCTGGCAGCACGAGGAGAGCGGAGCCCCCGCGCCGCTGCAGGCCCCGATGTGCCGCGGCCGTTCCGGGGCCAAGAGAGACGCGCTCACCGCGAAGCGCCGCCCGCGGCCCCCGCACCACCGGCACCGGAATGGACTTCGGGTCCGGCCCCCCACGGCGACTGCGGCCGCAGCGGCGATGCCCGCAGCCCCGGCCCCACCCGGCAGCGCGATGCGGCCCCTCACCCTGGCAACGGAACCGGCACCGACCCGCGATCCGCCGCACCGGAAGCGGAAGTGGAGCCCGCCGGAAGCGGAAGGGTGCCGGATGTGCGCTGGCTCCCGCTCGGTAGCGCGCTGTGGCTGAGCTGTGTTGGTGTGAGCTGAGCCGTGACCGTGCGCTGGGCCGGTACCAGTACCAGTACCAGTACCAGTACGAGTACCAGGCGGAGTTCCGTGGTGGTCTGTGTGTGACGGGAGACGCCGAGATGTCTCAGAGGCACAGCGGTACACGAGGAGGAGGCTTCGTTTTGCTGCTCCTCGTGGCTGCTGCTCTCCGGTCTGACAGGAATTCGTTATTTTATTTATTTTTGTTTTGTTTTGTTTTTGAGGTAAAATCCACGGGAGGCACGGAGAGAGTGCATGGCAGGATCCGCAGCCCCCAGCTCTCTGTCCCCAGCTTCTCTCTTTTGTTAATAACCTTCACAGGAGAGTTATTCGTGCCCAGGAATCCTTTTTAGCTTCTAAGTTGGCTCCTTCAAGGCAGAGTATGCGTTTGCATCCCTTGAACCAATGGTCCCATCCTGGGCAATGCTGGGATTCTCAGGACTTGGCTGCAGCTGTAGTCACTTTGTGCCATTGGTAACAAGTGTAAAATGAAAACTGTAGTTTGCACAATGATGAGCTTTTGCATTTAGATGTTCTGCTCCTTAGAAATAATTTAAAGGAAAGAAAACTCAGTACTAAAGTCTTATGTAAAACCAGGTGGGAAGGATACATGGCACAGTTCCATTTGGCATCTGTGGTCAGGATTAAATCTGCAGGGGAGAGAAAGTGAAAGTGTCGGTTCTTTCATCTTAGTTCTTGCTCTGTAGAGAAAATTACTTTCTCCTTTCTGGTTCACTGATAGGAAAATGAAGAGGAAAGGAAAGGAGGTGTGCGAGAACTGTCCCTAGCATTGCATTGCAGACCTGAGCAAGGTGCCATATAAACAAAAGCTGCACAGAAGCCTGGTTTGCCACAGTCCTTTTTTTTCTGACTGGGAATTAATTTTATGCATTTCCTGCTTGAATACGGATTTGGGGGTTTGTTCTGTATTCAGATTTTAGCATAAAAAGTGCTCTGATTTCTGGAAAAGCAATACAAATGGGAGATTACTCCACTGACTTCATGTCAGGTGTAGCTTCTGACTGCATGCAGATCCCTGTAAAACCAGCTAGTGTGTATGTATGTTAGTCACAAAGGGCTTTCTTTTGATAATAGACAGTTGTCCTTACACTGAGGCAGCACATTACAGTACTGCTGGAAAGCTTCCAATGTTGCAAGTAGTAATTAAGTCACACCCTGTCATAAAATTATGCACCCTGCAGGCCTATGTTAAAAATTCAGGCTACAGCAATGAGACTGTAATGTGATCAGCTCTCTACTTACAATCTTTTCAATACATTCTAATAATTTTCTAATTGGCCTTGATAAAATTCTCTCTTTGAGGAGAGGCATTAATTGTTTTTCTGCTTGGTTTTGGTTTTATTCCTTGTTTGAGGAATATGAAAAAAACTATTAAGTGTTTCTAAATGATACTTCATTTCGAGTTTGATGATGATGTTTTAGTGTCCTGAAGCCTGAGCCAGGACTAGGACTGCTCAGCACTGCTGGAAAATGCTCTGATTCTGATAGTGTTCATGTGGCACAGATAAATATGTCCTTTAACTCAGCTGTGAAAACACATGGTGGTGCTCAATCCTAACATTAATAAGTGCAGAGTGCTTAAGGAATTTAACAAAGATCATACAATTGCAACTCAGAGCCCAAACAGCAGCATCTTTGTACTGAAAAGTTTGTTTTGTGGTGGTACTCTTTGGGTTTACACTGTGGTAAATTCTAGCAGAGAAAGGAAGAAGGAAAAGCAGTGCGGAAATCTTAAAGCAAATGTCCACTCCCTGACATCCCAACGTACCCTATGTCTGGGATGCTCTAGGGTGAAATAAAAGAAATTCTAAAACTCATTCTAAGCAGGCAGTAACAGCAATGATGACTGAGAATGTCCAGCTCTTTGAGTCTACACTGTCCAACTGTTTCCAGTCTAAGGCAGATTTGTGCACAAAGCTTCTCTGCTGTTCCTGACCTCTTAAATGTAATAAAACAGACAGCATGGTTTACTGGACACTGCCATCACTGTGCCCCAGGAACAACAATGTGTGAATGTGAGTCAGTGTATGACTATGGGCAAAACAGAGAGTTTCCAGTGTTCAATAATGTGATGTGCTTCAGTAGCTGGCAGCTCAGCTGGAGACATAGAAACATCTCTGGTTTGAAAAAAAACACATTTTCAAGTTATCACTAATACAGCGAGTCTCTTTCTTGGCTTCATTATCAGTAAGGTGAAAATTGGACTATTATTTGTATAGCTTCTTCACATGAGCTTTTTTCCAAATTATTTACTTAGTGTTGGCACTGTAAGATGTTATAAATACTAGAGGTTTGTACCCATCTGCTATGTGCTGAATGTGACTGTTATTCTTCTCCCACTATTCAGCCCAATTATTTTTATTTTATTTACTTAAATTCTTTGTATTCTAGATTATGCCCCACTGGCAAGGGATCTGGGGAAAGAACTGTGATTCTTTTGTTTCACTGAACAAAAACTGATTCATCACTTTCCTTACATCACCTCTCAGCTCTCTAGCTTCTCAACACAGAGATTGGTATGGCTTTCCCTTAGGTAAGTTGTAAATCGCAGCAGCTGTGTATTTGTTGGGAGTCAGTACTCCTCAGTATTATTAAAGTGGTATAAATGTATGTAATCATACAAGATCCAATTATCAAGGATACTGCAGAAGTAGTTTCCTGAAGAGAGTGAAATAAATATGAAATTGAGATACTGGAACAAGTTGAATTGCAAAAAAAGATCTGTGAAAAGCTGTGAGAATGACAGGAAAAAAATAAAAGTCAATAACCCTTAGGAAATAGGGTTATAGACAATGAAAAGGAGAAGTTCTGACATGGGGCTAAGAAGTAAAATAGCTGAATCAGGCAGACACATTTGCTATGTCTGTGCTGGGACCCTATAATTCTACTGTTTCCTATTACTAAGCATGTGTTTCTGCAAGAATTATAGTTGATTTGTTTCTTTATTTAGTGAATGGGCTAAGATATCAAGAAGAGAATGCCAGCCTTGGGGGCTGGCTGCCATCAGTGTGTTAAGGTGTACACACAAGGCACAAAATCAGGTTCCACAGCCAATCTGAATTTTTGCACGTAACTGTTGTGTGACTGCATTTTACAGTATGACCTACTGCTTTGTTTTAACATGTGTGCACGAATATTTCGTGAAACAATTTACTGTGAGAGAAGCTTCAAATAAAACTGCTCATTTTATTGTCTCCCATAGGCATGCAATGTCCTGCCATGTCAGCACATTTTGCTGCTTTAGAGAATTCTTCTGAGGGGTTTTCTTTGTAAGCATTTTGAGATGCTGGCGGTTGTCCATCCACGTGGACAAATCAAATTTCCGCATTATCTGAACTCTGAGAATGTCTTTTGAAAGCTCTAATGAGATGTCACCAAAGTGGTCCTCTTTAGTCTTCAGCTGCTGTTCACTACAAGTTTGTAATTCAAATGCCTCTGCTCATAATGAGAGACAAACAATCATACAATTCAGAACTCGTTATCACTCAGTGTCAAATGTAAAAAGGCTTTAAAATTCCAGAGACTTTTAAAGCAGAAGGTTGTGGTACTTTTTTGAAGACATGGCTGACAAGACAGCAGTAAGGCCGTGTGCCTGCTCTGCCCATTAGAAAATATGTGTTTTTGTGAAGCAACACGTATCAGAATTAATGATGAGGGATGTTGAAATGAAAGAAAAGGACATTTGATTCCAATGTCTTCTTGTAAACTGAAGTGAGTATTTCAGTGATTTACTACCATACTTTTGTGATACATATAATTCTAAAATAATGATAGACTTCCACTCCTTCTAGAAAAACCTGTTGCTTTATACAACTGTGAATGTTTTTTTCTCCCTCTGCTACCTGCTGGGTCTTTTCCTTTTTCTTTGGCAGTAGAATTTTACAGATCCTGCACCATCGCCCCAACTTCAGTCAGCATTGAATTGAAACCACAGAGAACAGAAGTGATTCTTTTTTTTGTCCCATGTACAGCAGGAGAATACAAGCGCTCCACAGAGATGAAGCTGAGATTCTTATGCCTTATATGACAGCTGGAGGTTCGTATTCCTTGTGATAAGATGTGGTGTGGTGGTACCAACAAGTGTTAGTGAATAATAGCAGCAAAGTAGTGAGTAGGTTGAGCCAGGCAGAATAATGGGATGGTTGGGGTCTGATGAAGCCACTGTTTTCCCTTGTCCTCTGATAGCTTTAAACTAAAAGCTTAAAAAAAAAACCAACAAAACTTATTTTTAAAACATCATTAAAATCTGAAGCTTGTGGAAACTTGCATTGATAAGCTGAGCTTCTCTGTGCTGCCTGAGCAAAGGCTTCTGTTTGAGAAACCTCAGTCAGTTGTGCTGTTTGGTCTCCTTTCTGCTGATGTGTGGGCTGGCAAATCAGAGAGAAGTCAGGTGCAATGTTAACACCAAATAGAACCATCAGAGCGTATGGCAGCACCGAGCCCTGCCGCATTGCTGACACAGGCAGATTCAAACTACAGTTTTCTTCTGGTGTTTTGAAAACCCTTGCGTATGCAGAGAGGGGTCATTTTGCAAAGCATAGTGTGAATAGACACCCTTATATTAGAATCTATTCTTTATGGAGTGACATACGTTGTGTTGAGGCTGAGCACTTTTAATACACGTTGATGAATGCTCAGGTTCTCATTAAAGATGGAAGGAAAAAAGCAATTACTGAGTTGGCTCGCCCAGCCCCTGCGAATGACAGGATTTTCCAGTTCAGCTTATTCCTTCATTCCTCACCACAGCAAAGCTTCTCATGTCTGAGACAGTGTGTGGCTTTGTATTTTTGTCAGGTATGAAGGTCAAAAGCATTACATCTCTTGGGCTAC